ACAAGATGACGTCGTTAATCTTTCCCTAACGGTCGTCCAAATGCGAGTGGCTACTCATCACGGAACATTTAGTAAATTGACTCCGTTACCTTTCTAATAACATAACGTATTATCTAAATTCTTTTATTTAAGACAAAAATACGTCGGTATGTATTGAACAAAATGTATATAAATGTGTTATATAATATAAGATATGGTAATTTGTATTTTATTACACAATTTATGAAATATTCCTTTCTTATATTTAGAATTAACATATAAGCATTATTGTAGACTTTTTTTAAATTATATTTCATAAAAACTGGTTATGAGGAGGCGTATGTTTGGCAATATAATTGTGAGAAGATGTAATGATAATGATCTATTGATCTGAATCTAACATAAAGTTTAGTTTATTGATTTTTATATATTTGTCAGATATTAAAACAGCAATGATTTAGATACAAAATGTCTAGTATGCTATGTTTATTTGTTTAACACTGATTTAAGCGGGATTTTAGAGATTTAAGAGGATACTGCAGCAAGTAATATAAAGACAATAAAATAACATCTGCCACAACCATTGTTAGAACTGTAGCGCTGCAAATAATATCTATTTCCTTCTATCACTCTTCTATAAGGCCGCGAATTACTAGGTACATCCTTCGTCGTAGAGATTATCATTATTATGCCAACAATTCCAAAGTGCGGTACGTGACAGCAACACATTATTTACTACTGTATTATATAACGTATGTTATTTTAAGGCTTTAATATATAGACTTTTTAGTTTATCGGTAGAGTCACCTGGGATTTTTTTACATTTGAATTAAAATCCAACAAAAGGCAGGTAGGCTCCCCAGGAACATGTTATATGATTTTTTTTAATCATTTTAGAACTATCATGGTAAAATCCAGTTAATTTTTGAAGTTATTCAATTTCCTGCACTACACAATTTTTTAATTTTTTTATTTGTCGCTTCCTTAACAATCATTTTTCGATAGTTCTTGTAAGTAAAATGTACATCACTAGCTAACGCACACAATGACAAATCAAAATTAGTCACGCGTTTTCGGGCTGTCAGGTCTTCTATATGCCAGTATATTCTAAGTCTATGGTTTAAACACATGAATTCGACGCTTTGTCTTTTAAAATAATGTACCACACTACCATAGGCGAGTTGTTTTAAAAAATGACACATTTAAATAAGATTTTAAAATAGTACAACAATTGCCACTTTATCTTTCAATAAAAAATATAATTGCATAATTACTTCCAAAAAGACTTAATTTCAAACAAACTTTTTAACCTGAATAGTACTTTTGTGTGTAAAAGGATTTGCTCTATTATTATGTAAGCGAGACAGACCGATGTAATAGGGTGAGATAGAGAACGACAGTGTTCAAAGTGCAATAGAGTGGGATAGACTGACATTTTGTTTTTAGAGAAAGCGAGACGGTTAGTGACGTCGATGCGATAGTCAAAAGTCATATGCAAACACGCATATTGTCTACGGTGAATGGCATTGTAACGCCTCTGCCGCAGCCAGATTGTATCGCCAGAGATACCTAAATTCCGTACGTCACGCAGATCACCGCGTGTGCATCAATGTGCACCAGTCGTATTTGCAATGACGAATGCCAAGTGTTAATACGGCAGGTGGCAGACTACGACGAAACGACATTGACGTAGTTTTAAATGAAATTGAAAATGATCACAGCACTTCAGTACATGCAATTGAAAGTGACACTGGAATATAGGAAAGTGTTGTTCATTGAACTTTAAAGCGATACGAATATCACCCGTACCATTGATCCTGGGTACGTAGCCTAGAGTAGCAAACCATATAACGAGTATAAGGTTTGCTACTCTAGGCTACGTACCCAGGATCGATTTTTACAGAACAATGTTGGCGAGAAATCGTGAAGATCCGCAGTTTCTTAACAAAATTTTATGGACAGGTAAAACGAACTTTAAAAAAGACGGTTATTTAAACTTACACAATCTACACGGTTGGCATATAGAAAATCCACATTTAATGTGTGACGATCTCTCCCAATACCAATTTAAAGTGAATATGTGGACCGGAAATTTAAACGGACATATAATCGGACCATTTGAGCTGCCTGAAAATTTAAATGATAACAACAAACTTAACTTTTTACGAAATAATTTGTTGAATTTATTAGAAAACTTACCATTCAATATCTATTGGGATATGTGGTTTCAACAAGGCGGTTGCCCAGCGCATTATGATCGTCCAGTACGGGATCATCTAAGCACAGAATATCCCGGTAGGTGGATTGGTCGCCTTGGCATAATTTTATGGCCTCCTGGTTCTCCAGGCCTAAATTCACTTGAATTTTTTAACTGTGGTTGCATAAAAGAGAAAGTGTACTTGAAACCAATACACAATCTAGCCGAACTACGCCGCAAAATGGCTGAAACAGCAGAGCAAATATAGTCATGGAGATACGCACGATTAGTGTAAAATTATTGTTACGCGCCACTATTAATGTCTTGTACATGGCAACACTAGTTACACTAGCGCCCCCTAGTGTCGAGTAAATGAAAGTATTGCGCGCCACTATTAATGTCTTGTACATGGCAACACTAGTTACACTAGCGCCCTCTAGTGTCGAGTAGCAGAACTAGGAGAGTCGAGATCCTTCCAAAAATTTCGGGACCGATATGTACTCGAACATTCTAGATGTCGCTACAGTGGAAGGTTCTGGAAACTGTCTGAGGCCCTATATAAGGCCGGTATGGACCACGACCAGAGTAGTATTGAATTGGCGATACAAGAGATTACTTCGAAGCGAAATAACGGCGAACTGTGTTTTATTATTAGTGTGATTTTAGATTGTAATTAGTGTTGTGTAATTAAAGTGTCAATTTTGGTAATTCAATCGGCAGTTTTTAATTGTCTCGAATCCCAAGCTCGTAACAATTGGTGTCAGAAGTGGGATCAAATATGCCGATTTTATCTAAAGACGACACGGAGGGTATCCGTACCCGAAGTCAACGCCAACTGGAGACGGACCAGAGACGAATTGGTAATGCAACGCCGCAAACGTCGGAGGGGCAGCTGCTAACCACGGAGGCCGGCCCGTCAGCAGCTCCTGCATCTGCAGCACCTGACTTAGGTGCTCTGATGATGATGCTGCAGGATCAGGCTCGCCGACAGGAGGAACAGGCTCGCCGACAGGAGGAATAGGCTCGCCGACAGGAGGAACAGGCTCGCCGACAGGAGGAACAGGCCCGCCGACAAGAGGAACAGACCCGTAGGTTGGAAGAGCAGCGGCAGCGCGGTATGGAAGAACAGATGCTCCTCAGGAAGGACCTTCACGCTACCTTCGGGAAAGAGATAAAGGAGGTGAAGGATAGGGTTGCTCAACATGACAACCGCCTGTCGGAAGCTGAAACCCGAATCGACCAAGTGAACAATCGGGTTGACAACGTGATGGCTGATGTGAAGAAAACGCTGGACGACCTCAAACTTGGGGATGAAATTACAGCTCCCGTAGTAGCTACAACACCTTCGCTACGTGGATTCAAAGTGCCGCCGTTCGACGGGAGTTCTTCCTGGTCGGCCTACAAAATCCAGTTCGAGGCTGTCATGAAAGCGAACGGCTGGAATAAAAGTCAGGCCATGACTGCTCTCACCCTAGGCCTACGCGACCAGGCCTTAACTGTTCTGGAAGCTCTCGGTAAGGAAGTAACTTACGAGCAGCTCCTTGAGGCATTGGAGGCAAGATATGGCGATGCTCACCTGAAATACGTCTTTCGTGCGCAGCTCAAAGATCGCGTGCAACGCAGTAATGAAAACCTGCAGCAGTGGGCCCTTGAGGTGGAGAAGCTGGTTCGAAAAGCGTACCAGTCTGTACCTGCGCTCATTGTAGGGAACCTGGTGCAGACATTCATCGACGGCATCCGCGACCTTGAAGTCAGAGCTGCTGTGAGGCTCGGGCACCACGAGACGCTTAAGGACGCCTTGACCCATGCACTGGAGGTGGAAGCCGTGCGGCAGGATCATCGTTCCCACCGCGTCAGGGAGGTTGCAGCAGCTACAGTTCAGGACCGCAATAAGGGCTACAGCCCTAGGTGCTACGGCTGTGGGGAAAGGGGCCATCTTCGATTCAGCTGCCCTAAACGAACTGTAGAAAGGGAAGGTGATCGATATCGAGAGGGTAGTGTGGCTGACAGCACCGCCCAGCAACAGCAGGGAAACTGGCGGGTGCTGGCTGATGTTAAAAGAGCCCCAAGGATTTCGATCTCACAAACCCATGATGGGAACAGCCTAATCATCAAGGGCGAAGTCAACGGAACGCCGTGTAAACTGACCATAGACACTGGCGCCTCTCGCACGGTTGTCAGTTCCCAACTTATAAGTCGGTTCCTTGGGGACTCCGCATACAACCGAGAACGCATTAATTTGGTGACAGCCACCGGTCAGCGCATACCCGTCCGTGGAGAGAAGGAGATGGAGTTGAAGCTAGGCAACATGATCTACCTGCATAATGTCATCGTGGCTGATATAATGGACGACTGCATCCTGGGCCTAGACTTTATGAGGAAGAATTGTTGTGAGATCGACGTTAAGCAAGGTGTTTTGAAATGTGGACAAGAGGAACTTTTCGTGGAAGGGGCGTTACCAGGGAATGTGTACAGCCTTAAGAAGATTGTTCTTCCGCCAAGATCGGAAACGATTGTGCCGGTTAGACTTCCACGGAATCCTGGGCAAACTCTTCGTTGTGTACTCGTGGAAAGGGTAGACAATGACCTTCCATGGAAAGTGGCTCGAACCTTGGTCAGAACCGCCGACATCTCAGGAGTACGTGTGCTGAACCTTTATGATCAGGAACAGATTATAGAAAAATGCACATTGGTTGGTACTAGTGAGGAAGTGGATTGGTTGCGTCGGTGCGAATGTCTATCGACTGGGACCCCCAGCAAGGATGGACAAACTAGAGTGACCACACTTTTAGAAGACTGTCGCAGCGATCTCTCCCCGAATGAAATGGTCAAAGCAAAGAAGTTGTTACTCAAGTACGCCAATGTTTTCTCGTCAAACGAAGCTGACATAGGAAAGACTGGCTTAGTTCAACACAAAATAAACACAGGACAAGAATTACCTATTCGTCAGCGGCCAAGAAGATTGCCTGTAGCACGTGAAAAGGAAGTGGAAACCATGATTGAGGGAATGGTGAAGGATGGTGTTATTGAACCTTCATCTAGTCCATGGTGTTCACCTGTGGTGCTGGTAAAGAAGAAAGACGGCAGCATGCGGTTTTGTGTTGACTACCGCCGCCTGAACGACGTTACAAAGAAGGACAGCTATCCCTTGCCAAGAATTGATGACACGCTGGACATGATTACAGGCGTAAAGTGGTTTAGTACGCTGGATCTGAAAAGTGGCTACTGGCAGGTTGAAATTGACCCTAAGGACAAGGAGAAAACTGCATTCTCCACAGGAAAGGGTCTGTGGCAATTTAAAGTCATGCCGTTTGGATTGTGCAATGCTCCAGCAACGTTTGAAAGGTTGATGGAGCTTGTACTTACCGGGCTAATTGGAGATGCCTGTCTGGTCTATTTGGATGACATCATCATCGTAGGCCGTACGTTTGAGGAACACCTTCAAAACCTGGAACGCGTGCTCATGAAGATCCAGAGTGCCATCCTCAAGTTGAGTCCAAAGAAGTGCTCACTATTCAAACGGCAAGTTAGTTTTTTGGGGTATGTAGTGTCGGAAGAAGGTATCCGCACGGATCCAGAGAAAATTGCTGCTGTCAAGGAGTGGCCGGTCCCAAAAGACAAGACACAGGTTAGAGCATTTTTGGGCTTGTGCTCTTATTATCGGCGATTTGTGAAGAACTTTGCAGATATAGCCAAACCTCTGCACAAGCTAACCGAGGAGAAGCGACAATTCTGCTGGGATGAAAGTTGCGATATTGCATTCCAGGAGCTCAAGAACCGCCTGTGCAAAACACCTATTTTGGGGTACCCTGATGCGAGCAAGGAATTCATAGTTGACACAGACGCAAGTGATATAGGACTTGGCGGTGTGTTGTCTCAACGGATTGGTGATCAAGAGATTGTGATAGCGTACTTCAGCAAGTCGTTGTCAAAGCCGGAAAGGAACTATTGTGTCACAAGACGGGAATCGCTTGCTGTGGTAAAGTCTTTGCAGCATTTTAGCAAATATCTTCTAGGGCGGAAATTCCACTTACGAACTGACCATGCTGCACTGAAATGGCTATTGCAGTTCAAAAATCCGGAAGGACAAGTTGCGAGATGGATAGAATTACTGCAGGAATACGACTTTGTGATCGAACATCGCAGCGGGAAATCTCATGGCAATGCAGATGCATTGTCAAGAAGACCTTGCCCTGAAGATTGCAAGCATTGTAATAGGCAAGAGGGTAAGGAAGTGGTATCTGTGAGAATGCTCAGGACAGACCAGCTCAGCAATGAGTGGAAGGACAGCCTACAACATGCACAGCAGGAAGATTCGGACATTAAGCCGATTCTGGAATGGATGAAGGCCAGTGCTCCTAAGCCCAAGTGGAGCGACGTCTCAGCAATGAGTTCGACCACGAAAAGCTATTGGGCCCAATGGGACAGCTTGCTGATTCAGGATGGAGTCCTGTGCCGTAAATGGGAAAATGGTCGGGGAGACAGGTGTCATTTGCAAATGGTTGTCCATAAGGCTAAAGTGCCGGATATTCTACAGCTGTACCATAATGATTGTTCAGGAGGCCACCTGGGAGTTAAACGAACTCTCCTGAAGATCCGAGAACGGTTTTACTGGGTCCACTGTCGTGACGATGTCGAGGACTGGTGCCGCAAATGTACAAGTTGTGCGGCTGTAAAGGGACCTCAAATTCGTAGTAGAGGCGCATTGAAATTGTACAATGTTGGTGCACCATGGGAGAGGATAGCCATTGACGTTGCGGGGCCGTTTCCAGAAACTGAAAGTGGTAACAAGTATTTCATGGTCATGATGGATTACTTCACTAAGTGGCCAGAAGTCTTCGCCATTCCAAATCAAGAAGCTTCAACCGTTGCAGATAAACTAGTTCATGAAGTCTTCTGTCGTTTTGGAGTACCTTTAGAGATTCACAGTGATCAAGGAAGGAATTTTGAGTCTCAAATATTCCAGGAAACTTGCCGAGTTATGGGTACTCAGAAAACACGAACAACTTCTTACCACCCACAATCTGATGGAATGGTAGAAAGATTTAATCAGACATTGGAGAGGTACCTAGCAAAAGTTGTGGAAAAACGGCAACGAGACTGGGACAGGCACATACAACCGTTTTTGTTGTCACATCGAAGCGCTGTTCACGAAAGTACATCAGTGACACCAGCTTTCGTAAACTTTGGGAGAGAATTGCGGCTGCCTGCAGACCTGATCACTGGAATACCACCTGATGCCCCACGCAGTATAACCGATTATGCAAATGACTTGCGGAACAAAATGAATGACATTTATGAGCACGTCAGACAGACGTCTGAGAAGATGAAAACACGTTATGACCGCAAAATGAACAACAAGGGGTTTGATGAAGGTTCACTAGTGTGGTTACACAATCCAGTTCGCAGCAAAGTGAAATCTCCTAAGCTTCAAGCTAAATGGGACGGACCGTACCGGATTGTGACAAGGATCAATGACGTAACCTACCGGATACAAAAAGGTGCCAGAGGTACTCCTAAGATTGTCCATGTGGATCGACTGGCGCGTTATTATGGGGCCAATAATGCTCGGGACGAGCATGTCTTAGGAGGGGGCAGTGTTACGCGCCACTATTAATGTCTTGTACATGGCAACACTAGTTACACTAGCGCCCCCTAGTGTCGAGTAAATGAAAGTATTGCGCGCCAATATTAATGTCTTGTACATGGCAACACTAGTTACACTAGCGCCCTCTAGTGTCGAGTAGCAGAACTAGGAGAGTCGAGATCCTTCCAGAAATTTCGGGACCGATATGTACTCGAACATTCTAGATGTCGCTACAGTGGAAGGTTCTGGAAACTGTCTGAGGCCCTATATAAGGCCGGTATGGACCACGACCAGAGTAGTATTGAATTGGCGATACAAGAGATTACTTCGAAGCGAAATAACGGCGAACTGTGTTTTATTATTAGTGTGATTTTAGATTGTAATTAGTGTTGTGTAATTAAAGTGTCAATTTTGGTAATTCAATCGGCAGTTTTTAATTGTCTCGAATCCCAAGCTCGTAACAATATCTTTTCTGAGGCGATTCAGAGGCTGTATTCGTGCCGAAGGCAAACAATTTGAACATTTAATTTAGTTTTAAGAACAAATAAATGTATACAATATTTCCTAGTGTTTTTAATATTTATTTAAGCTTATTCTACGTCAAGGGTAAACGTACTACTACCATATTTTGAACGCATCTCAACTACCTTTTTTCTAGGACGTTCCATTTTATACACAGTTTTAAACATTATTTTATGTTTTATTTAATGATTAAGTATTTCTTTATAACTCTTCGTACAAATTAATTAAAAATAACATAACAATTAAATAAATTAATCATGCAGTATCTCATTGAGTGCGCACGAGTGAAACGGATTTTTTTGACATTTGACAGTTCTACGATGGGCATCGGCGCAGTCCTTCGTTGTTGCAAAAGAAAATATAATCACTTGTTTCGTTTGCGTCTCGTTGTGTATTGTGCCATTTTGTGTGTTTTCATGGATCATAGAATACAAATATGTAGGGATAAACCAGATTTTTCTCAGTATAATCTTAGAGGAAGTGGCGATAGAACATTAACAAGATATAGAAAAATTAAATCCGTGCACATTCCACCAGAAAAATTTTCAACAAAACAATATTATGTTTACATTTTAAAAGAAAATAATGTGTCTGGTAGAGCTGGTATACCACTTACCTTACCTTACTTGGTATTACCTCTTAATCAACTCTTACGACTATAGTCGAATAATGTTGTAATTGTTTGGTCAGTCGACAAATCATTGAATGTTGCGCTATTGTTATGACTTTAGTGTGGTACCCTGGATGGGCTAGGTGTCAAGAAAATATCTCTGGTCCAGCAGAATTTCTGAATGACTTAGTTGTCAGAGATTCAGATGAAAATCATCATCATCTTCATTACAGCCCTTCACAAGTCCACTGCTGAACATAGGCCTCCCCCAAAGAATGCCACAAAGCACGGTCCTGAGCCACCTGCATCCATCGACTTCCTGCATATCTTACCAGGTCCTCACTCCATCTAGTCGGGGGACGCCCTACACTTCGCCTGCCGGTACGAGGCTCCCACTCGAGAACCTTTCTTCCCCATCGGTTGTCGGTTCTTCGAGCTATATGTCCGGCCCATTGCCACTTCAGCTTACTAATCCGTTGGGCTATGTTGGTCACTCTGGTTCTACTGCGGATATCCTCATTTCTAAGTTTATCACGCAGAGAAACTCCGAGCATAGCCCTCTCCATAGCTTGCTGAGCGACCTTGAGCTTCCTCATACGGCCAGCTGTGAAGGACCACGTCTCAGTTCCGTAAGTCATCACTGGCAACACGCACTGGTTGTACAATTTCGTTTTAAGGTTTTGAGGTATGTCTGACGAGAAAATGTGTCGTAGCTTCCCGAACGCTGCCCAGCCGAGTTGAATCCGTCGATTGACCTCTCGGTCGAAGTTGGACTTACCTAGTCGGACTATTTGTCCCAGGTAAACATACTCGTCAACAACTTCGAGCTTAGTGCTCCCAACAACTACCAGCGTAGGTGTGACATGGACATTAAATATAATCTTTGTTTTGTCCATGTTCATCTTAAGACCTATCCGTTGGGAGACACTATTGAGGTCATTGAGCATAGTGCTTAGGTCCTCCAGCGATTCTGCCATAAGGATTATATCGTCGGCAAATCGAAGGTGAGCGATGTACTCGCCATTGATGTTGATACCGTATCCTATCCAGTCCAGAAGCTTGAAAACGTCTTCCAATGCAGCGGTGAAGAGTTTCGGGGATATGACGTCACCCTGTCTTACACCTCTCTGCAATTGGATAGGTTTCGTACTCTGGTTCTGTACTCGGATAGCCACCGTAGCTCTACTGTACAAACACTTCAACACTTCGATATACCGACAGTCAACTTGGCACCGCTGAAGGGACTGCAGCACCGCCCAAATTTTGACGGAATCAAAGGCTTTCTCATAGACCACATACGCCAGACACAGTGGCAAATTGTACTCTTCGGACTTCTGTACAATTTGCCGAAGGGTATGTATGTGGTCTATGGTGCTAAAGCCTTTTCGGAAACCGCACTTCTGCTCCACGCCTCCGGTGTAATGCCACCATGGACGACGGAATTAAAGAGCTTCTGAAGGACTTCAAGTACCGGTCTTCCACCCGCTTTGAGAAGCTCCGCTGTAATTCCATCCTCGCCTGGCGCCTTACCGTTTTTAAGGTGCTGGCGTGCCATTCTAATCTCGCTCAGACTGACGTCCGGGATATCTTCGGAATAGTGTCGGATGAGACTCGCTCTTGGATCGTTACTCACACTTGCGTGTGGCTCCAAAGATGATGTGCACAGCTGACCATAGAACCTCTCAATCTCACTCAAAATCATCTCAAGTGTTCCGGAAACGATGCTGCCACATTCTGTCTTCAGCTTTGAGAGTTGGCTCTTTCTGGCAGACAGATCTCTGGCAAAGACTTTGGAGCCTTGGTTCCGCTCGATTGCTTCTTCAATACGAGCTGTATTGAAGTTGCGTAAGTCCAGCCGCATGAATTTGGAGATCTGTCTGTTCAGATGCCTGTATGCTGTCAAGTCTGTTGAAGAATGTAGCTTCATCTCCCGTCTAACAGCCATGAGATTAAGAGTGTGATCGGAGAGTTTTTGTGTTCTTCTGCGGCGGGTCTTGCAGAACTTAGCTCCGACTGTATGGACAGTTTCCACGAGCTTGTCATTCATATCGTCCACTTCATTGCAGTCTTCTAGGCACTGAAAACGGTTTTGTAACTCGAGCTGAAAGGTTTCGGGACTTTGGAACAGAGCACGAGGGGGACGGAGGATGGACTTCATTAGACGAGACCTCTCTAACTTAACATTCAGGTTCAGTGTGCCTCTAACCATTCGGTGATCGCTGCCGGTTTTCACCCTCACGATCACTGAGACATCACTGAACAGTTGTCGCCTGGTCGTCATAATGAAGTCAATCTCATTTTTTGTCGAACCGTCGGGGCTCGACCAAGTCCACTTCCTGTGGGGCCGCTTCTGGAAGAAAGAGTTCATCATAAAGAGTCCCTCTTTCTCCATGAAGTCGGCCAGCTGCTGGCCCCGTTCCTTTGCCCTATTCCAAATTTCCGTACTTTCAGCTCACCGTTCTCTCTTGTGCCTAGTTTTGCATTGAAGTCTCCCATTAACACCGTATATTGTGTTTTGAAGGAATGCATGGCTCTAGAGATATCCTCATATATTTCCTCTACCTACTTATCGGGGTATGCCGAGGTTGGTGCGTAAACCTGTAAGACCTTCAGCGAATACCGTTTGGTGATTCTGAGTATAAGGTACGCAACCCTTGTCGACACACTCCCGATCTTTACAACGTTGTTAACGAGAGACTTGCGGACGATAAATCCGACACCTCCTTGGGACAGATGGTCGCCCTCCCGGTGATAGAGCAAGTTGCCGGATTCGAGGATTACCGTGTCCTCCCCCTCTCTTCGGACTTCGGATAATCCTATAATATGCCAGCGCAACTTGTCTATCTCTTCTTCCAGCTCCACGATCTTCTCGTCAGTCCTCAGGGTGCGTGCGTTGTACGTTGCAGGGTCAAGTCGTCTAAGGTGGCAACCGAACCTCCATCGGAGATTCTTAGCACCCCCTGCCCCGCCGTTACCATGGTCGCCACCGTAGCCAGGAATAGCGGGGCCGCCGGGGACTGGGGGCCGTATGTTTGTTGGTTTTATTATTGGGGGGTATTTGCTATAGTTGCCACGCTTGGCGAGCGAGTTGGCAACCGCAGTTTTTTTATTGTAATTTTGGCTATTATCAGGAAGATGCTGCTGCCCATCTCCTGCCTGTTTCCCTTTGTCGCCTTTTACGACACCCACGTGAGGATATGGGGCAGTGGATATTCTTGACCGCCACTACACGGCACGGATCATTAATTTGATATTAATTACAAAATTGCCCTGATGCAATTTATAATTAATAAAATCTCTGACTTCTTATTCAGCATGGCCGACCCACTTCTCTTACATTACAAGACACAGGTAGATCGAAGTGGAGAAAAAATTATCCATGGCCATGAATGTGAAACGAAGTGGACAGAGCTGTAACAAATACGTATAAAAGTAAACTGTCAATTTAAATAACAAAATGTAGGTTCACCAGCGTTTACAAGTTCAGTTGAATACTGCAATTACCGAAGAATATATCTTCTATACTTATAATAAATCTGTAGAGAGGTCAATTCTGTACATGAAATATATTTCCAAAATAACTATCAGGGGGTGATTAGTGATCGATACTGATGCCAAAAATGTTCGTTATAGAAACAAAAACTACTCGACAGATTTTAACGAAACTTGGTACAATTATTTTTCATACTCCAGGGTAAGTTATAGTATACTTTTCATCACGCTACGATCAATAGGAGCAGAGAAGTGAAGGTTAATGTTGGGGAAACGGGAGAAATTACTCCATTTTTTAAGCTTCCGTCGCGTGTGCAGCCTTAATGGTTAAAGCTACACAGAAATCATGTATAACGGGAATGTTCTCCTTAAAATTATATAAAAAATATCCCACGAGAGCATATGT